CCAACCCAACTCGTAATAAATTTAAGTATACAAATTTTAGTATTTTGTACAGAAATATTCAGTTCAAATACGCCAATATTAAAATGCAGCGCTTTGCACTTAACGGATGCTTTTTCATAATTAAGTTAAAAAAAAAANATTCCTAATCGAATATACTCTATCTCTTTAGCAGAATAAAAGGCAATTTCCATAAAATCCATTCCCTGGCTATGACATAGAGCTGCAAAACTATCGACTGCACTATCTCTATTTCTTTCAAAGGATGATAACATATCTCCCGCCAAGCATTTGTTGATTTTCCATGCAAAAATATAGTAAAAAACTGATCTTTCCAAAAATTTTAAAAGCCGGATGTTCGAAGGATATGATAATAATATTTGGCGCTTACACACGCTTCATACTATACTCGAAAATAGATATTTGCGTCTCGGTTATGTTGTTTATAGACATTTTTTTTGTGCAACTCAAACCGACTGCCGACCGCCGTGCTAATTCAGATCAAAACTCATTTCACGGAACCCACTTTAGGAAGCTCTGCACTACACATTCGTATTTTGCACGCTTCTTCATACATGTGTTGTACCCCTACATGCACAATGACCACTGTGCAAAGAAATATATATGTAGGTACATAATGTACACCGTATTCAAAAGAGTCACAACTCAAAATAACACGTTTGTCAGAAAACGAGAAAAAACTATTTCTTAGCACATGATAATCACATGGACAAGGACGACTTTACCAAAGGTTCTTTTACACAAATTATAACAAAAATTTGCTCCAGCTTTTGCTGAAATATAAATAAAAGCTCTGCGTACATTTTTAGGGCATAATCTCAAAAATGTCAAATTTTGAGTTGTGACTCTTTTGAAGACGTTGTGCGATATGTAGTAGGTATGTACACTTAAGTTATATGACTGCCGAAAAATTGATGTGAGTTGCAATTATCGCACTTTTTATGTTCCATTGTAGATCCGCGACGACAGCATAAATTTGCCATTGCTGTTATAGCAAAGCAAAATAAATAAACTTTATGGCAAAAAAATTGTGTACTTCACTAAAAAGTGTCGAAACTCGCGGAAACCTTAATTTTGGTACTTTCAACGATTGTGATGCCGGTTGTGTAAGCGACCAAACACAGTAATCAACAAATTATGACACAAAAGAGGCAGCAAGGCACTACCAGCAGTCACAGCAGTGAAAATAACAGTTTTGTTTCGCTTTGGTTCAAAGACCCAAACGATAAACCACATTCAACAAAAAAAAAGGAAACAAATTATGAATTTTATTAACGACAATATTAAAAGTTTTTTTTTATCATTTCACTGAAATAACAAACTCACTTAAAGAAAGTTCATACAATACATACATATGTATGTACATATGTGTTGTATTAATTAACACTAGGTGTTACGAAATTGAACATTTCCCGCCGTTTTATTTCTGGGACGGCAGGGGTTGTGATTTTTATTCGTCATATTTTAATAATTTAAATTGGATTTATATTTTTCGATCTATATACCTACTATTAACTAATACGCAATTTTCAAACTTACATATATCTTTAGATCATTTAAGATTAAGGTGATAACAACGCAAATATCATCGAAAAAATATTATCTCCATTGTATATATGTATTTACATACATAGTAGATATGTATGTGCATGTGAAGATTAAAAACACAGTTTTATCAAGAAAATTTCACGAACCTTTTAAGTGGCCGAGTCAAGTTCGTATGGATGTTAGAGTAATTTACCAAGCTTTGTGTAAAAATTTTATAAAACCCTGAAATTCTCAACCGACTCTATGATACTTTGTAGCCATTTTCATATGACTCCTTCAACTAAATAATTTTATGTTAAAATATGGAGTTAGGAAGAAGAATGTTTGAATTTCTTAAAGATCCCAATGAGTTATGCCTGAGAAAAAAAATTATTTTAACCTCGAAGACGCATAATAATATTTTCTTATGAATAAGTAGACATTTCCAGTGCGTTAGTAAAATTTTAGGCATTCATAATTACGTGAAATTTTACTAAACGTCAGTCTGTGTTTATTTTGTTAGGCCACATAAAAAGTTCGTACAGTTTTCTTAAACATGTTGCATGGAATTATTATTGTGGATGCCTACAGAACAAATCTGAAAACCTCTAGAGATTTCTGCAGATAGTAGGTACTTTCGGTCTTCTTACTTACCCCACAATGTCGTGTATAGATTTATTCTTTCCATTGGATATGTGACCAAACACACAAGGCTCACTATGTGCACCAAAAAGATCTGTATGACTTTATCCCATTTGAGAGGCGCTTTGAACGATATGCCAAAGACTTTATCGCCCTTGAAGATGCGTGTGTATTCCTCCAGGTTGACGTGATAAACAGGCTCATAGAGGCCGATTTTCTTGAGTGGATTAGACGGCGGAGGCTGCTCGCCATCAATTATGCAGCCATTGGAGACTGTATTTGTTTCGCTATTGCCACTTGTTATGCCATTGGTGCGCTTTTTGAGCTCATCTTCACCACTGGCCAGGGTAGCACCGACATGATTCGATGAGATTGATGGATGACCCATTTCTGTTTGAAAGTCAGTGTGATTGGGTGAGAGAGTTTTAATATTAATTAATTTATTGATTAGAAACTTTTAAGAATTTTTAGGAACTTCTTTAGAGGAAATGGGTGATGAAATTACAAGCAGGGACTTGTTATATGTATATTTTTTTTTTCTTTTCGTCAGATGGTATGGATTTCACTTGTTTTTCAGCAATGATAATTTATAGTTCTAAGCCATACTATTACACAGATACAGTTCCTTTTTGTTATTTTTTTATTGACCTCTTTTTAGCACTTTAGCAGCCTTGTTACTTTTAATAACGGACAACAATTTTAAAATATAGCTGAACACACCAACACGTACCAAAAACACACTCGATGACTATTTTGTAAAACTCGGTACGGCACAATGCTTTACACAAATTAGGCCTTGTTGATTCTTCTTTATTGTTCTTCAGACGTTTTCTAGAGTTCTTGGATTCTCTTCAACGCGTGAGCTGTGTTTGAGTGCTAACGTCAAACAGTTAAAAAACGAAAACAAAACGTTAACGTTTCGACACTCTTTTATACTCATCCGCACCAAACATCTAACGATCTTAACACGCCGCCGTTCCGAAGACAAATGAACGCGAACCAGTCAAAAATTGCATATCTATTGGTTTACAACCGTGTGGCAGCCTGGCGAGATTCTGCTTTCTAGGCAACATACATATGGGCGCACTAACACCAGTTTACAGATTTCAGCGCCCAGTGCCGTCTACGCAGCGTCGGAATAAAACAATGGCCAAAATATGCTCTGCATATAAATACTAAATGTATGAATTTACCCACATATGTGTGTGTACATATGTATATGTGTACCTACCCTACAAGACATTGCTGAGCACTTTAGGCAAAAATTCTCACACATTTACACTTTTGTTTTTGTAGTACGGCATAAATGAGTAGTTTGACTATTAGTACTGAGGACTTTCTGATGACAACATTGAGGGGAAAGTACTCAATTTTTTCCCATGGCCTGAACGAAAATGAGGACTTTGATAAGCACTTTTGTGATTAGGGATAATGATAATATGAGTACTCATATGATACTCAGCTGTCTTGTAGGGTACATAAATAAATACATATCTACATACACACATACATACATGCATATATAGCAACGTAACAGGTGTCAACAAAAGGCCCGGTGGTGGTAATGGTAACAGCAGCAGTGGCAGCAACAGAGATCGGCACCAACAAAAAAAGCGAGCAGCATCTGTCCATATGAAGACTTATTCATCTCTATATGTACATGCATACATACATATGTATGCAAGTGCGTACATATACATATATACATATGGATGTGTATGTATGCATGCATGTGTAGATATGACAGTAAATACATATATGAGGCCACAGCTTCGGTAAAACTTGGCTTAATACGAACACAGCCGTGGATAATTACACACATGCGTACATTAGGGTGTTACTTTTATATTTCTTCTTCTTGACATAAATAACATTAGTTTCTAACTATGCGAGCTACTAAACCCTATCCGGTTATGGCAGACCTCTCTCCCGACGGGTAACCCTCTCTTTTTGGCCCTCGCGGAACTAACAGAACTAACAGAAGCAACAGCAACGACATCAAAAACAGAGCCAAAACACCTGGAGCCCGGAATTTTGCTGTAAATGCAAAGATTGGAAAGACCAAAGAATGTAAATCTATAAGAGGAGACGACAACACGTTATAATTGTAGCGAGAGTGAACATCAGGAGCAGGTCTTCTCTGTTCATCCAATCACAAAACGTATTTGGGCAAAAGAGAAAGCACGCTCCTGATGTTTCCACTCGGTACAATATAACGTGTTGTCTCTTCGTATAGATTTACGTTCTTTGGAAGGACTTAGGCGTCAGTGACAGAATCAATAAAGAATCCAGGACAACGCAAATCCGCCATCGACTTGTAAAATCTTTGGCTGGTTACAGGGGTTGCGAAAGTTGTCTGTGATAAAATAGGTTATGTCGTCCCAGAAGCTCATCTAAAAGTGGTTGAAGATATATCCCAAAACGAACGACCGAGGAAAGTTTTGGATGCATCCACATGGTTAATTTAAAGTTGCCAATACGGAGCAAACGAATCGAATAAGGATGCAGTATTGCCTCTCAACAACCAAAACTTGGTCATTATGACGATAAGCGAAGAGATGGTTAAACACAGCTTCGAAAAGATCGAGATTTGCAAAACTGGCACCGAAGATATGGCCAATTTAGTGGCATCCGTGCAAACTGCAGAGATCCGCAGATTTCGAATCATTTACGCCAAAAAGAAAAAAATTAGGAGGATATGTGTCGAATTCCGGAAAACATGATCCATTTACGTCCTCGGACACCCTAATTTATATACGTATGTGTGCATAAATACTTACAAGTATACATGAATATGGGAATGTGTAAGTGTTCAGTATCATTAGAGGGCAGTTAGAGGCTTCGCCACGATCAAAGAATAAGTTAAATTTTCGTCTCCTAAAATAACCAAACTCCAAATAGGCACACACACTTTTCGAATACAAGTACAGGCTCGAAGCATTCACGCTTTTACGCACTATTACACACTATTCATATGGCTGGTTGCTAAAGAATGGCTTGCCAACCACTGCCGTAGCAACTTTTCAATTTACGAACTGTTATCGCAGCAAATCATATCGGGATAGTTCATTCTCTTTAATTTACATATAGCTTCCATAGACTTTGCATCTCACTTTTGTTATTAATACAAAACCAATAGAAAATTGCAAATTTGTAAAAAATTTTATTATAAAACCAAAAGTAATCTTGAAAAAATTGAAAAATTGGATACTGAAATAAAAATGATGTAAAAATTTACATACAAACTATGTACAAACTTTTGCATACTTACATACATATGTACAAATTTTTGTGTTCGAATGTGGATGTATTCATGCATGTGTGTGTATGTATGTGTATTAAGGTGGTCCAAAAAAAAGCAAAGTCGGAATTATAATACCCTCACCCTCTAAATCTAAAAAAAAAACACTGGGATCGCCGAGTTGTCGAAATTCGACATGTTTTTTCAAACACTTTTGAATTTTGCTTGTCACCAATATTTACTCCTTTGTGCGAAAAGAGACGAGAGACCTTGCGAAATAAGACCGAGAAAGGAACCTGAATTTTTATTTATAAAAACCATGCGTATATATTTGTATGTATAGATGAGATACCTAGCTGTTCCTCACTGTTAAGCATATACCAATCTAGGCAGTTAATACGTTTTTCAATTATTTTGGTCTGAGAGCCTCTTGGAAGGTAAAAACTAAATGGCCCACATCTGTGTTCATAAACTCCGCTTTCTTTTTTATTGGAATCGGTAAAAGTTAAGAAAGTACGCCGAAGATATACAACAAACAAGATATAATATTTCCTTTTATAACGGCGGTTCCACACGGGGTTTTGTCAAGATTGGGCCAAAGCCCAATATTTTTGCATCACACAATTGGGCTACCAAGCAACACCAAATTGTATGTTACAAATATGTATTCCAAAGATGAAGCAACTCTGACCATAAATAGAATTTTTGTAGGATAGTTCTCAATCCCAGCGCCACCTATCGAAAGCAAACATACTTATCCTTTTAAAAACCTTTGCAACAAATAACAATCATTCAATGTGATTTAGAAAGCCAGTATAAAATGGTTTCCAATTGAATGATTCTATCCATTTTATATGAACATAGAGGTAGGTGTATCAAATTCTATTACCTTATCATAAATGGTTCCAGAGATAAGCGATATGAAAATTGCAGTTTGCATGGGCGGTGCCACGCCACCTTTTACAATACCCACCACATTTCGCCATAACTACGCTATTAATAACAACAATAGCTGTGCAAAATCTTAGAATCTTAGCATAAGCGGTTCCAGGAATATGCGATATGAGAACTAGAGCTTGTATGGGAGGTGCCACGCCCCTTTTTCCAAAACCTGCAATTCTTCGTGATAAGTGAGGTACAATGTATTCTGCTTAGCTGTCCATCCTTCTTTGTACGATAAACTTTTGCGCTTAACCGAAAAAGCATTTGCGCGAATTTTCTTTACTACTGCAATGAGGAAGGTATCCGAAAGAAACCAAATAATGGAGGAGCACTTACCACGTAGAAATTACTGCAAGCGAATCTTTTTCCGGATGGTATCTAATTATCTCTATAGCTATGTACGTAAAATGATAGCGGTTTTCGTTGTTCTGCGAGATGAGCAAAATAAATAAAAGCTTGTAAAATTAGGGTAAGTATAGAGACAGTGCAGGTAAACGTAATAATTTCTTTGATAGTTGATAAAAGTTGCAAATTTTTGAGGCAGGTATCGCTAATGTGCAGTTGTGTTGAATGCATCTATCGGAGCAGATTCCTTATAAAAATTATGCCGGTGATGCGCATTTTGGGGTAGGTATCTTAAATGTGCACTTAAGCACAAAAGCAGCAAAGCAGAATATACTAATACAGTATAATAATATAGTAGATAACACATTTTGCTGTGTCGAATTTCAGGACGTTAGCATAGGCAGTTCCAGAGATAAGCGATATGAGAATTTCAGTTTGCATGGGCGGTGCCACGCCCCCTTTTCCAATACCCACCACATTTCGCCATAACTACGCTATTATTTAATAGCATAAATAGCTGTGCAAGTCTCAGAATCTTAGCATAAACGGTTTCAGAGATANTACCCACCACATTTCGCCATAACTACGCTATTATTTAATAGCATAAATAGCTGTGCAAGTCTCAGAATCTTAGCATAAACGGTTTCAGAGATAAGCGATATGAGAATTTCTGTTCGTATCGGAGACGCAACGTCCCTTTTTCCACCACTACCATTTTTAGCGTAAATACGTATTGATAACATACTTATGTTGCTGCGTCGTTTGATCACCCTTTCGTTCTGCACTTCACAGATGCTTTTTCATAA